ATTTCACACGCTACTTAATTTAAATTGTACTTCGAAAATTTGCTTATTGTTGCTGAGATTCGAACCTAAAACCTCTGATTCTTGAGTCGTTCACTTTATCTACTGCACCACTGTCACTTTGACTGAGAGGCTCTTCGTATACATATGTATATCCATGTACGAAAACAAATGATTTATTTAAAAGAAGAGAATAGATCCTTTTAAATGTAAAAAAATGTTTAAAAAGTATGTAAAAGGTATATTTAAAAAATATTTACTTGTGCGTGTCTTAAAAGTAAGTAAAATACAAATAAATCATTTTGTAAATTTAAATAAATTATTTTCTAATATATAATAAAAAACATTAACTTGTGTTCCGTACAGGCAGAGTACGGCGGGCGGCCGTGCCTCGGGCGCCGCGATACTCGCAGACGGCTTCGCGCCGACGGCTTCGGGCCATCGCTCGCAGTTAAATTTTAGCTAAGCGGCTATAAGGTAAAGTGATCAAACATACATGTTTCAATGATTGACATATTGGTTTTGTATTTTTCTTTGTTGAAATGCTTTTCAATATACAAAACAATATAATAAATAAAAAAAAATATTTAGTTACTTTGTGATTTTGTTTCATTTATTGATAAGCATCTTAACAAACACAAGTATATTATTAGTAATTCAATTATACACGTTCAATCACTAGGACTTTTACCTTATAAGCCGGCGCGAGTGACGGCTCGAGACTTTTTGAGTACGCGTTGCACGTTGGGTCCTGCCTTTAAGATGCTTTTACATAGGAACGTCGAGCGTCAAGTGTTGAGCACATACATAGTAATATATAGTGAGTTGTTGCTGAAACGCAAGATTAATTTGATTACATACTGAACTGTCAGTTGAATTTCGGGATATTTATTAGCAATTCAGAAAAAACTGTAAAATATTACAAAATATCTATTAATTATCGGCATCATTTGTGGTTCCCAGATAGCACGATGAATTCTTTAACTGTTCTTAAAGCTTTCTCCTTCCCTGAATTGTACTTCCTTAGGAATTCGTGGAAGAATACCATAAGAATGATTTAGGAAGTTATATGCACCATGATTGGAGTTCCTCAGAATTTCTTAGAGTATTCATACAGAAGTTATTCATACAGAGTTATTCATACAGAATTACTTCAACTCAAAAAGATTTCTTCGGATTTAATAAATTTTATCACATGAAAGAAAAATCAGAAACTTTGGCCGGGGGTGCTTGTGTGTATCTATAGATGTCCACTTTTAATGCCATATGAGATAAAAAACATCAGACTCGGGGATCGAACTTGGGTCTTCCGTTTGCCAGACAACCGCTTTTTCCACTGAG